TGGGGTCGAAGCTTCCGTAAAACACCCGTGCGCCGCCCGGAAGCTGCACGTCCAAAAGCGGTTCCGCGAAGCACAGACCGATACATCCAACCTCAGAGAGTCTGGCATCAACACCCTGGCTTTCCAAGGCTGCCCGCAGAGCTTCCACGACCTCGAGGCCCCCGGCCGCTTGGCCACACAGGGCGGTGCCAACCCGCAGCCAAGGCCGGGCGGAGTCGGTCTCCCAACGGCGAAGGGACTCCTGCTCTAGTTCTTCGAAGCTAGCGGACACTGGGACCACCTTGATTCTGCGCCGCAGGGATATCATTCTGCAGCAGTTCTGAAACGCGCTTGGCCGCTGACTGTGGGGGTTACTCGACCGATCAGGTGATGGTCAATCGACATCACGGGAGCAAGTGAACAGGCTCCGAGGCAGGTGTTCAATCTAACCGACAGGCGATGGTCGGGACGTTCGCCTTCGTCTTCCAAGCCAGACGCCTCCAGCACAGACTTCACCACGGCCATAGATCCCATCAGGTGACAGGAGGCACCCCAGCAGACTTCGACCTGGCGTTCCGCAGGGGGCTCAAAGCGGAAGTTTGGATAAAAGGAAGCAACCGCCCACACATCATTAACGGTGAAACCAGTGAACTTGGCCACCAATTCAACGGCTTCCCTGGGGATGTAGTGCAGCTCGTCTTCGACGGCCAGCAGGGAGGAAAGTACCGTTACCGTAGGCTGTGGCTGGCCGCGGACGGCCCGGTCTATCCGCTGTTCCAGACCATCCATTCGGCAGGACTCCTGGGCTTCAGAAAGCTGCGCCGCAGATAATTTTCAGAGGCGGCAGACCTTCGTTCTTCCCATTCGTGAAAGAATTAACAATCGTCTTGATACTATCATACTGCTCAATGACGCTTCAACAGAGATTCTGTCCCGATTACGTCAATTGGTTGCGAAAAAGATACAGGAGCGGATGCCAACCGCTCCTGTCTGGGGCTATTGTATTGTCCTGAAGATACGGGGGGGTCGGTCAGGATTACTCCACCCTGGCGACACTGCCCAGCAGGATCCGCTCGACCTCGGGGAGCAGGGCCTCTGCCCGCTCATGGCATTCCTCGTCGCTCAGACTGGAAAGGGGATGGGGAGCGACGGCGTATTCATAGTCCGGCACACCCATCATTCGGGTCATGGCCTTGGCGGTGTTATTGAACACGTGAGTAATGATGGACGCGGTCGGCAGACCCAGGCGCTCCATCTCGATTCCGTCGTGCACACTGCACGAACTGCAGGACCCTCAATCACCCACCCCGGTGATCAGCACGTCCACTCCGTTCAGCATGTCCTCAACAACGTCCGTCTTGGTGGGCAATGAGGCGGAATGCTTGCTGAACCTCCGGACTTCCCTCAGCCCATGCCTTTCCTGCAGCATCCGGCCCAGCTCGTCCAGAACTTTGTCCGAGTTGGCCTTGGAGTTTTCCAATAGGCCCAGAGTCTTGCCTTCCAGCGAGTTGGGCCGGTCATTTAGGCGAAAATCTCCGACCTGGAGCTCCAGTCCTGCGGGATTCACCAGTCTGACGTTTCTGACCGTTACAGTATCCGCCATAACGCCCTCCTTAGATTGGTCTAAATACTTATGGGGAGTGAACTACACACAGCCCGATTTTTCAAGTCCCCGGAGCTAGGCTGGCAGTTCGATTTTCCGGGTACGAATCTGGTAGTTGGTCGTGTCAATGATTGCGCTGTTGCGGCCGCCGGTGCCGCCGCCCATCACGATGATGATGTCGTCGGGCTCACGGGAGCAGCGGCGGAGTATCTGGTCATCACCCTCGCGCTCGGGGCCCTGGGCCACACCCAAACGGATCAGCTCAGCCTGCGGTCGGGCCGCGTGTTCCATCAGGTACTCTTGGATGCCCCGCCGGGTCCATCCGTCGTTGCCCAGTGTGATGGCGTGCTCGGGGCCAAACACCAGGGCCCACTGCGCCGGGAAGCGCCAAGCCAGGCTCGCGCTCTTCAGCGTGTCAGCGACAGAGGCCAGGATCACCTCGCCAGTCTGCCCGTAGGCGTTGTTCACGGTTATGGGATTGTAAGCCACAGCAATGGTGACGGTGCTGTCTCCGGCCTGGAAGCCTCTGACTGAAACGTTTTTGGTTTTTTTTTTTGTGGGCGATACAAGAGAGGGGGGGCGGCGAGGGGGCCGGGGGGGGACGGGGGGGGGGGGGACGGGGGGGAGGAGGAGCTGGAGGGGAGGACTTTGGCAGGGGCGAGGGACGGGGGGCGGGGGGCGATAGGGCGGGGGGGGAACGCGGCTAGTTGGGGGAGGGGGGGGGGAGGGGGCGCGGGGTAGGGGGGTGAGGGTGAGCGGGGTGGGTGTTGGAGCGCTTGGTATTGTTGTAATTTGTTGCTGTTCGTGGTCGGTTATATTTTCGTTTCTTTTTATTTTTCTAAGGTCGTTTATTATGTTGTTGTTTTGTTTTGTGTTTTTGTTTTTTTTCTTTTGTCGGTTTTGTTTACTTTTAGGGGTTCTTTCTTTTTTTTTTATGGTTTTAGTGCCTGTGTTGGGTTTGTTTGTTTTAAGTTAGTTTTGTTGTATTATGTTTGTTTTTTTTTATTGTGTTTGCCGCGTTGGCGCTGGCGACGCGGGGGAGCGAAGGGTGGGGGTGGGGAAGGGGAGGGATAGGAGGCCGGGGGCGCGCGGAAGGAGCGGGGGAGGTGGGGGGGGGGAGGGGAGGCGAGAGAGGGGGCGGAGGGGGGGGTGGGGGGCCGCGACGAGGGCGATGGGGGGGGGCCATAGCGAGTGCGGGGGCGATGAGACTGCGGCGCGGGGGGGGCGAGTTGTGGCTGAGGGGTGGGGCGGGGGGACAAAAAGTTCTTTGAAGGGTGTGGGGGCGTGGGGAGTGGAGGGTGGGCGGTTTTTTTTTAAAAGGGCATGGTTTTTTGTTGTAGTTTATGTTTTTTGTGTTTTGTTGTTGTTTGTTTGTGTTGTTGAGTTTTTTGATATTTTCTTGTTGATTATTCTTTTTCTGCTGTTTTTCTAGTTCTGTCATTCTCCTGTGGTTTGTATTTTTTTTTTGTTTTGTTTTGATTTTGGTTTTTTTTTTTTTCTGTGTTTCAGCTGCAGTCGGCATGCCCACGGTGAGTCCTCTTCGTTCTCGGCGAATGTCAGAGTGTACTTGCTGGGGTTCCCCAGAGTTCCACGGTCCAGAATGCCGGGACGCGCCTCAAAGCCGTTCATGAAGCAGAGCCGCACCGCCCGTCCGATGCAGGCATTGTGCCGTTGCCGTGGTCCGATATTGATGCCATCCGTGAGTTCATCATCTCAGCGTGTGCCGATTGGGACAGCGTGTTTACGATCATCAGGATGGCCGGCGAACTGGTGGAGAGAGGCCTGTCTGCCGTTTTCAGCATAGTTGTCTTTCCTCTTCGTCTTCAGCGTCCGCAGTGCAGTGAGTCTCGCATCCGGGATATGTTGTACTCGGGCAGGCAGCCGGCCATCACGGCATTGGCGGCAGAGCATTTTCGATCTCGTGTCCAGCATCACTGCCGGCGTCGCATGTCGAACGTGTGATGATCTCCTCTGTTACTCCCGGTGGTAGCGCGGAAAAGCTCCAGCATTTCCCGCACCTTATATTCGACAGGCGGGACGACCGGCAGGCCATCGCTCCACCCCAGCCGGTAGCATTCCTCGATGATTTCCACCGTGTCGCTGAACTCGACGATGTCAGAACGGTTCATATTGCTTTCCATCCAGATTTGACCCCTCTTGAGAAAAGAGGGTCAAAGAAACTCTACACGTTGAGGCGAAGCTGCACGCCCGCCTTCTCTTCCTGGATGCGGGCCACGGCGTCGGAGTCCTCGGGGCCGAAGCCGCGGAACATCGCCTCCACGTGGCGCTGGTCAACCAGGTTTGAGAGGTCCATGGGCACTCCGTACTCGCGGCCCAGATCAGTGGCCAGGCGTACGTCCTTTGCGGCGAGGGCAGTGGCGAAGCCTGGCTCGAAGTTGTCCTGGAACAGGAACCGGGGAAACTTCTCAGTCAGCCGCCTTGAACTGCCGGAACTATGGGCGATGACATCGGCCAAAGTGGCCAGGTCAACCCCAGCTTTGACGCCCAGCGTCAGGGCCTCGGACAGCAGGACGCCGATGCCCATGCTCATCAGATTGTTGCAGATCTTGCAGACCGAGCCGGCCCCGATATCGCCACAGTAGACCACATGGCTGCCTATGGCCCCCAAGGTAGACTCGAAGCGGTCAAAGGTGGCGCGATCTCCACCCACCATCACGGCCAGCGTTCCGGCCGCAGCGCCGTAGGTTCCGCCGCTGACTGGAGAGTCGAGGAGAGTCACACCTTTCGCGGCGCAGACCTGGTGCAGATTCCGCACGACAGTGGGCGAGTTTGTGGAGAGATCGAAGACTACAGTACCGTTACCGGCGGCCTCCAGTATTCCGTCCTCTCCCAGGACTACCGCCTCGACGTCCCTGGGAACGGGGAGGCTGGTTAGGACCGCGTCGTTGCCCGGGACGGCCTCCCTGGGACTGTCCGCCCACTCGGCGCCCATCTCCAGAAGGTTGGTTGCGGCCTCGCGACGCAGGTCGTGAACGGTTAGCTGGTGGCCGGCCTTGATCAGATTGGCGGCCATCGGATTGCCCATATTGCCGGTTCCGATGAACCCTAGTTTCATCCTGCTCTCTCCTGTCCCTTGGCGGTTGCCCCTGTTGCGGCCGCGGTGGCTGCCCCTGCTGTGCCCGTGGTGGCTGCCCCTGCTGTGCCCGTGGTGGCTGCCCCTGCTGTGCCCGTGGTGGTTGCCTCTGTTCACTGTTGAAATCGCCCCGGGGCGGACCAGGTCTAACCTCCGCATCCTGGCCGTCGCCGGCAGCAGGCCGGACCCGGGGAGTTTCTCCTTCTTCCAGATCCTGAGGGCCGTAATTCCCGACGCTCTCCCGGCGGTAGGCCGGAGCATAGCCGCTGGGGGTGTCACGGGGAGCACGCTCCGTCCGCGGCCTGTTGGCGCCCTGGCGTTCGGCCTGCTCGTCGAAGGTCTCCTTGGCAATTCGGAAGGCATTGACCGCAGCGGGCATCCCGCCATAGAAGACCATCTGGGCAATTATTTCCGAGATTTCCTCCTCGGTCACGCCGATGTGCAGTGCGCCGGTAATGTGCCGCTTGATCATCTGCGGACTGTGGCCCAGCACCACCAGCGCAGCAATGGTGCACAGGCTGCGGGTTCGCAGGTCTACCGCTGGGCGGTTGTAGATTTCCCCGTAAACCACCGCATCTACAAGCCGCATCACGTCCGGCGCAAGCTCGGCCATTGCGGCCGGGGGTTGCGGATTGTTCTCCGCCCCGTAATAAAGCATCCGGAATTCGGCAGCAGCCTCCTCGAGGTCTACTGCATCTTCCTCTTCGTCGTCCTCCAGATCGTCTTCGTCGTCCTCCAGATCGTCGTCGCCGGGTTCTAACTCACCCTCAACGTCGGGTTGATAGGGACGCAAATACGGGTCGCTTTCATCTTCATATTCGGTGGTCACGGTAATGTCCTTGCCCTAGCCCCCTCCCGGCGGGAGGGGATCTCAGGCATCCTACAGAATGTGCCAGTAACGGCGGCCTTCCTTTCTAATAACCCGGCCGATGTGGTCATCTGGGTGGAAGTGGCCGGCGGCGATGACGATGTTCTCCGCCTCGGCACGGTCAAGGATGTGCTCGCGGTTGCGATGGCTGGCTTCCTTGTCGGTGTCCACCCCGGCGGTCCATTCGGGACGCTCCACTTGCACTTTACTGTGCAACAGGTCTCCCACCACCATTGCCCGCTCTCCCTGGGATGTGATGTCGATAACCATGTGGCCGGGCGTGTGGCCTGATGCCGTCAGCATCTTTACCTCGCCGGTGATGGTGTGTTCGTCGTCCACCAAATCCATTGCGCCCATGCCCTCCAGGGGCACCACGCTGTTGGTAACCTGCGGAGCGCTGCCGATGACATCGGGCTTGGTGAAGTGCTCCCAGTCCAGCCTGGGTACCAGATAACGAGCCTTCGGGAAGGTAGGGGCCGGACTCTCGCCGGTGTAGTCCACGTTCCAACCCACGTGATCGCCGTGCAGGTGGGTATGGGCTACAACGTCGATGTCCTCGGCGTTTACGCCCTTTAGCCGCAACTGATTTACCAAGTCGCCGGTCCGGTTGCCTCTGTCCGGGTGCGGGCCGGGACCCATGCCGGTGTCGACCATGATGGTCTTGCCTTCGGAGCGCAGGAAAAAGTGCAAGTAGTAGAGCTGTAGTTGCCCGCATTCCAGAGCGTGCTGCTGGTCAGCCCAGTCCGGTTCCGCGGTTGTCGGAAACATCATCCACGGGTCGCGGGGCGGCGGCACCATGTCCAGAACCGCCACTATTTCCACATTGCCTATCGTGATCTGGCCTGCCATATCGTGCCTCCTGAATCGGATTCTCGGCCGAAGATACGCTCAGTATTGGATGAGCGACACCAATTCTCGCCCCTCCAGCCTGCTGCGTCCATCTAGGAAAAGGAGTTCGATGACAACCGCGAGCAGCACAACCTCGCCTCCGCAGGCCTCCACAAGATGGGATGCTGCGGAAAGGGTGCCGCCAATGGCAAGAAGATCGTCTACGATGAGTACGCGTTGCCCCGGAGTTATGCCGTCCGAATGAATTTCCAGCACGTTGGAGCCGTACTCGAGGTCATATTCGACGGAATGGGTATCGGCGGGAAGTTTCCCTGGCTTCCTCACCGGCACCAGCGGCTTTCCCAATTCGCGGGCCAATGGCGCTCCGAAGATGAACCCCCTGGATTCCACGGCCACGACAGCATCAAAAGCGGCGTCGCTGCACCGCGTTGCCAGTTGGGCAACCGCGTGATCAAAAGCCTGCGGGTTGGCCAGGAGCGGCGTAATATCCCGGAACAGAATGCCGGGCTCCGGGAAATCGGGGATGTCACGAATGTAATCTTTCAGGTCCATCGTTAACTTGTTACAGCTCAAATTGTGTGGTTTGCCAGCAAAGAGAAAACAGCCCCTCCAGAGGAGGAAAGGGGAGCGGGCGCAGTGTAAGTTACACCCCCAACTCAGTCAACCCAAGCCACAGTTGCCTCCAGGACTTTTGCATTTGGCCGGAGAGATTCCGTGGCCGCACAGGGGATGAAATGCAGCTATCTGAGGGAGCCGACCTGCGGAGTTGGGTGCGATGTTTCCATCAGATAAGGAATGGGACAGGAATATCCCACTCCTGTCCGATTTTGTCCCATTTCGTCCCACTTTGGCGCAAATTTTTCGTTATTTCCTATCTAAATCGCGCCCGGTGGGACAGAAATTTTTGATTCCCGTCCCATTTTGTCCCACTGGCCTTTCCGGCCTGTCTGCGGATGACCTGGCGGCCGTGTCGTCGGCTTGGAATACACTTGGGTACCGTAAGCAGGCGGCTGCATACGAAGGCATGGTACGGAGCCGTCACAAGGCTTGGCAAGCGGCAAATGTCATCAAATTATCCAAATGCGATGGCCCCGCTCGCCTGTAAGGGTATGGTCGTTCGGCCGTCGTTTCCTTCGGACGTCCAGTGCTTGTGAACCTGGTCGCCGCCAGGAAGCCACCCGCGCTGATTGGAAACCGATTGCGGGATACCCGGTAAGAACCGGATGACCCTGTTCTGCAATCGGATTGACTTGCTGCAGGGTTGTAAATATAATTATTGGCAGTCTTTCAGCTAGGTTCCTTAAAGTCGCGCGACACAGGATAGCCCCGCAGAAGTGGGGCTATTTTATAATGTCCGGGTTTAAAGCATTGACAAGCAGGGCCTGGCGGGAATTCCAGGGCAAAGATCCAGATCGAGGTCAAGGTCAAACGGGTTCGGCGACGCCCCTGTGGCGCAAAGGAAGCGCAGTCGATTTGTAATCGACAGGTTAGGGGTTCGAATCCCCTCTGGGGCTCCAAACTGCACCTCGAAACTGAGAATGCTGCGTTGCGAGTCGAGGGCGTTGCGCCGAGACGGTTACGTATGCGAATATGGATAGGCCCTCTCTTAATGGAGGGGTGGGTGAGTGGTTAAAGCCACCAGACTGTAAATCTGGCGTCCGGAAGGGCTTCGCAGGTTCGAATCCTGCCCCCTCCACCATTAAATAAGATCCGGAGCCGTGAGCAACAGACCATAGGGTTGCATCGTAAAGTTCGCTCATGCATCGGAGTTCATATTCACCCAATGCCCAGATAGCTCAGCGGTAGAGCACGTTCTTGGTAAGAACGGGGTCGGCGGTTCAATCCCGCCTCTGGGCTCCAGATATAAGCCCACAATAGTCACAGGCTATTAAGGAGGACACGGCGTACAACATGGCCAGACAGCAGTTCGACCGGTCGAAAAACCATGTCAACGTGGGAACCATTGGGCATGTGGACCACGGCAAGACCACTTTGACTTCAGCCATTACCAAGGTGCTTGCCGGCCGAGGCCAGGCCAAGTACCTGGACATGGACTCCATCGATAACGCCCCCGAGGAAAAGGCCCGTGGCGTAACCATCGCCATCGCCCATGTGGAGTACGAGACCGAGACTCGACACTACGCCCACGTGGACTGCCCAGGGCACGCCGACTACATCAAGAACATGATCACCGGCGCGGCCCAGATGGATGGCGCTGTGCTGGTGGTGAGCGCACCCGACGGCCCGATGCCGCAGACCCGTGAGCACATTCTTCTGGCCCGCCAGGTGGAAGTGCCCCGCATTCTGGTCGCCCTGAACAAGGTCGACATGATGGACGACGAGGAACTCCTGGAATTGGTGGAGCTGGAAATCAGGGACCTCCTCAATCGCTACGACTTCCCCGGCGACGACACGCCGATCGTCCGGGTCAGCGGACTCAAGGCCCTTGAGGGCGACCCGGAGTACGAACAGAGTGTCATCAACTTAGTTGACGCCATGGACGAGTGGATTCCGATCCCTCCGCGTGCCACTGAACTCCCCTTCCTGATGCCCATCGAAGACGTATTCGGCATAAAGGGCCGCGGTACCGTGGTGACGGGCCGTGTGGAGCGTGGCACCATCAAGGTGGGCGAACCGGTGGAGATCATCCGGTTCGGGGACACCCGGGCCACCGTTGCCACCGGACTCGAGATGTTCCACAAGCAGCTGGACGAGACGGTCGCTGGCGATGCGGTGGGCGTCCTGCTGCGCGGCGTGGACCGCGACGAGGTTGAGCGTGGACAGGTGCTGGTGAAGCCCGGTTCCATGCGGCCCTACACCAAGGCCAAGGCCGAAGTATACGTGCTGAGCAGGGACGAGGGCGGACGCCATACCCCCTTCTTCAGCGGTTACAAGCCACAGTTCTACATCCGCACCAGCGACATCACCGGCTCCATAGGTCTTCCCGAGGGAGTGGAAATGGTGATGCCCGGCGACAACGTGCAGATGGACATTGAATTGATGTCCCCGGTGCCCTTGGAAAGCGGTATGCGTTTTCGCCATCCGGGAGGGCGGCCGCACCGTGGGGTCCGGCGTGATAATCGAGGTGATGGACTAGCATGGCAAGAAAGAACGCCGATATCCGACAGATCATCACCCTGCAGTGCGGCGACTGCCGGGAACGTAACTACACGTCCATGAAGAATCGCCGCAACGATCCGCAGCGGCTGGAGCTGAAGAAGTACTGCTCCCGCTGCCGCAGCCACCGCACCCACCGCGAAGTGAGGTAGCACAATGGCCAGGGCCGGTTCGCGCGCCCAGCGAATTCTCGCGCCATCAGGGGGCGTCCGTGTAACTCCCGTTCAGTTCCTGCGGGAGACATACGACGAACTGCGGAAGTGCTTCTGGCCCAGCCGTGAGGAAACTGCCCGCCTGACCATGGTGGTCATCGTTCTCTCAATAGCGGCGGGCTTCTTCTTGGGCGGCCTCGACCGAATATTTGGGGAGCTGTTCAACCGGGTGATCTTTGGACTCTAGGATAAACTTGGCCGCAGACGACCCACTGCCACGTAGCAACCGCCCCCCGCCTGCGATACGGGCTGGGGGCGTGATTCATCAGTCGGGAAGGTTCGCATGACGAACGCCAACGACATTTCGACTATTGAAGAACAACCCGAGGATATGCGCTGGTATATAGTGCATACCTACTCGGGCCAAGAGGACTTGGTAGAAAAGAATCTCAACCTCCGAATCAACAGCCTGGACATGGAAGACCGCATAAAACAGGTCTTGGTGCCCACCGAGGAAGAGGTTGTTTTCAAGGACGGCAAGCGGCGTTCAGAACGCAAAAAGCTGTTTCCGGGATATATCCTGGTTCAGATGAGCATGGATGATGAGAGTTGGTACGCCGTCCGCAATACTCCCGGCGTAACCGGCTTCGTCTCCACGGAAGACGAGCGGGACAGCCGCCCCAAACCAGTACCACTTGAGGACAAGCAGATCGAGGACATCCTCCGCCAGGTGGAATCGGATTCCACCAGGGTAAAGATAGCCCTTGAGCAGGGAGAGACGGTCCGCATCACCGAAGGCCCATTCGTCGACTTCATCGGTGCCATAAACGACGTCGACGAGAGCAAGGGCAAGGTGCGTGTACTGGTTTCGTTCTTCGGAAGGGAAACCCCCGTTGAGTTGGACTTTCTGCAGGTCGAACGCATCTAACGCACTGTCACCGTCGGCTGCGGTCAACGCGGACGACAGGGGTCATCTTAGGAGTACCAAGTGGCGAAGAAAAATTCGCGCAATCATCAAACTGCAACTGGAAGCAGGAAAAGCCAGCCCGGCGCCGCCGGTCGGGCCCGCACTCGGTCAGCACGGCGTCAATATCATGGGCTTCGTCAAGGAATACAATGCCCGCACTGCCAATGCAGCGGGGACCATCATTCCGGTGCACCTGACCGTCTACGAAGACCGTTCCTTCTCCTTTTTGACCCGAACACCGCCGGCTTCCGACCTGTTGCGCAAAGCAGCGGGCGTGGATCGCGGGTCCTCCGACGTTCGTCAGGCTCGCGTGGGCACTATCAGCAGAGACGCCCTCCGTGAGATAGCGCAAACCAAGCTGCCCGATCTCAACGCGGGGACCGTCGACGAAGCCATGTTGATCATCGAAGGCACCGCCCGTAGCATGGGCATACAGATTTCGGGAGATTAGAACATGCCCAGCAGAAGTAGACGCTACAGCAATGTTGCAGTACGGGTTGAACCGGAAAGACCGTACAGCCCCGAAGAAGCGATTGAGCTCTTGAAAGATGTCTCTACCGCCAAATTCGACGAGACGGTCGAGTTCCATTTGAGGACAAATGTCGACCCTCGCCACGCCGACCAGATGGTCCGCGGCGTGGTAAGCATGCCCCACGGTCTCGGAAAAACGATGCGGGTGCTCGTGTTCACTGGCTCCGATGGCAGTGAAATCGCACGTCAGGCCGGCGCTGATTTCGTGGGTGAAGACGAATTGATCGAGCGCATCGAGGGAGGCTGGGTCGACTTCGACATCGGACTTGCCACACCGCAGGTGATGCCCAAGATCGGCAAGCTCGGCCGAATTCTGGGACGCCGTGGCCTGATGCCCAACCCCCGTTCAGGCACTATGGTGCAACCTCAGGACTTGCCACGCGCCATCCAGGAAGCGAAAGGTGGCCGCACAGAATACCGGACCGACCGGACGGCCATCATCCATTGCGCAATCGGAAAGATAAGCTTTGAGACCAACATGCTGCTGGGCAACCTCGCCACGCTGACATACGCCATCAGTCAAGACCGCCCCGCCGCTTTGAAGGGCCAATATTTCCGCTCGGCTTATCTAACCTCGAGTATGGGCCCGAGCATCTTGCTGGACCTGGCCACCCTACAGGCCTTGCGCCCTGAGGACTAATCGGTTAGCCTTTAGCCACAATTTAATACTGTACGCCAGAGACAGCGGGTCCCTCCGGGGATAATGGCCAGGCCGCCCGCCGAGGCGCGACGATAACCATCAGGGAGCAAATAAACCCTGCGCCGCGTCTTACGTCTGCGCAGGGTTTTTGACGATCATTTTTTCGTGGGAGGTGAATGTTGCCAACAGAGGAAAAATTCAACCGGGTGGAGGAGCTGAAGGACCGGCTGGAACGCAGCACGATCACATTTGGCGCAGACTACACTCGCACCACGGTTAACCAGATGACAGAACTGCGGCGCGCCATGCGAGCCGGGGGTATCGAGTTTACGGTGGTCAAGAACACCCTGATGTACCTTGCCGCGGACCAAGCCGGAATGCCCCAGGTAAAGGAGTTCGTTCAGGGGCCCACCGCCGTTGCATTCGGCTACGACGACCCGGCTGCGGCCGCCAAGACGATTTCTGACTACGCCCGGGCCAACGCCAATACCTTCACTATTCGCGGGGCAGTAATGGGCGAGGGAACCGCCCTCGGTACGGACGGAGTCGCCCGCCTGGCAACCTTGCCCCCCAAGCCTCAGATGCTTGCCATTCTGCTCGCCCAAATGCAGGCGCCCATGTCTCGGCTGGTCGGGGCTCTCAATGGACCAGTTCAAAGCCTCGACAACGTCCTGCGCGCACGAATGAGCCAGCTGGAAAACGAGTAACGCACTCCTAGCACAAAAAATCAAGAACGAGGAAACGAGAGATGGCTTTGACTAAAGATGAACTAATCAGCGCAATCAAGGAAATGAATGTCGTTGACTTGGCCGAGCTGGTCAAATCTCTGGAAGAAGAATTCGGCGTGACCGCAGCCGCCCCTGTTGCTGTTGCCGCCGCCCCGGCCGGTGGTGACGCCTCCGCCGCTCCTGCGGAGGAGGAAAAGACCGAGTTCGAGGTCCACATCCAGGAAATCGGACCTAACAAGATCAACGTCATTAAGGCCGTCCGGGAAGTCACCTCCCTCGGACTGCGCGAGGCCAAGGAACTGGTGGAATCCGCTCCTGCCGCCGTCAAGGAATCGTGCCGCGCGACGAAGCCGACTCGGTGAAGGCAAAGCTCGAGGAAGCCGGAGCCGTCGTCGAAGTCAAGTAACCAAAACCTGCAGGCGTTTGGAGGAGTGCCATGGGTCGCAAGGACAGGGAGCGATTCCTCCGGATAAAAGAGGGCAACCCGGACTACCAGGGATTCCGGGGCGCCGCCTCGGTTGCGGCTCCCCCACCTCCGCCGGAGCCTGTAACCGAGTCAGTAACCTGCTCGGTGTGCAACCGGCGTCGCAACGTCAACGTGGATATTCTTCCCGAGGACCGCAGCACTTTTGTCTGCCTACGGTGCCAGGAAGAGGAACAGGCAGCGTAAGACGAGGTTATTGCAAAGAAGGGACCGCGCCCCAGAGAACTGGGGCGCGGTCTTTTTGTTTGAAGTCTGCCCAACCTGACGAGATTCTTGACTCAATCCAGTGCGCTGCCGCCTAGCGGAACAACGGCAGACGGCTGTCCAGGTACTCGTAGGCTGTGCTGAACTGCATCTCACCAGACTCAACCAGGACATCAGGCTGGACTGGGTTCTCGCCAACCCACGTACCCTCGGGTGTGTACCAGCGTGAGACGGGAATGTAAATTGCCGATCCATCACTGAGTTCGACGAATTCATAGCTCGATCCCTCTCCAAAAGTCGGGACCCCTATGACCGCGGCTCTTCCGGCCTCCTGCAATGCAGCGGCCACCGCCTCGGCCACACCGGTTGTCCGATCGTCGACCAGTGTGGCGACCAGCAAATCATCTATGGAAAGCCGGTTTTGGTCATCCGTGAATCGATGTTCGCTGCGTATTCCGTCCCTGTCCTCGACTAGCCGGAACAGTTCGCCCGGTGGCAGAAATTGCCCGGCCACCTCTGCTGCGGCTTCAACGGATCCCCCCGGGTTGCCTCGAAGATCCAGGATAAGCGCCAGCATATCCACTTGCTTGAGTCGTTCCAGTGCGTCGAACACCTGTCGACCGGTGTTGTCGCGAAATAAGTGGACTCTAATGTACCCGATGCCGCCCGGCGTGAGTCTGCTGGACAACGTGGGCGGCTCCACATTTCCGCGATAAACCTCGAGGTCCAACGGCTCGTCGTGACCGGATCGTTGCAGACTGAGTAGTACCTTGGTGCCCTCTTCGCCCTTAATCCGATCACCCACCTCCGGAGGAGTGGCGTCTCCCACTGGTACTCCGTCAATCGCAAGGAGAGTGTCGCCAGGTTCGATTCCCGCTTTTTCTGCTGGGGAGTCGTTAAACGGGGCAAGAAGAATTCGGCCCTCCCGCAACCCAACTTGCGCCCCGATCCCGATGTACGTTGCCTCTGTACTGCTCTGCAGCCGTTCCAGGGCCTCCGGCAGTTGGTCCGACGTCAGATATTCCGCACCCGGATCTGGCAGTCCGCCCACCAGTCCCCTGATGAGCATATTGGACACCTCATCCGGCTCCGCCCCAGGGTTGGCCTGACGGTATATTCCGGTCGCTCGCCACACATCGGTAAGCCCGGCAGGAACTGAAGCAGGAACCTGTCCTCGCATTCTGCCCAAATCGGTGAGGAACGGGTAGGGTTCAAGTTCTCCCAACTCCAGGATGCGCTCCATAGCACCCCCCGCCACAGCTCCCTGCCTCAACGCGCCTGGGGCTGCGTAATTGTCGTGCAGGGAATACCAGGCCTCCCAAACCAAGGCCAGCTCATCCGCATCGCCGGGATCGATCGGTTCTTCGGCATCCGACACGCACGCTGTCAACAGCGGCAGCACAACGAGAATGGCGCCTAGGGTCAAAATGAGACCAAATCTAAAATTGGGTTGAAAAATCAAAACTCAATCCTGGGCCAACGATCTGCAGGGCACAAGTATTCTATCAAACTGGGCACATTACGCCGCTCTGGATAAGCGTTGCCAGCGTGCTGGGCTGAATGTACACTGGCCCTGAAACAAGGGCGGCTGTTTCTAAACAGCACGGCCTCTATCAGTTTGCAAGGAGTATCCAAGAATGATTAAGGTCACCGTACTGTACCCTAACGATGAGGGCAAATCGTTCAATTTCGATTACTGGACGGGCCCGCATATGGAAACTGTCCACCGTCTCCTGGACTCCATGGGCCTGCAACGCAGTGAACTGGAGAAAGGGGTCTCGGCTGCGGACCCGAACGCCCCGGCCCCATTTGTCGCCATGGCCACAATGTATTTCAACACCGAGGACGAAGTGCACGAGGGTTTCAAGACCCACGGCCGGGAAATACTTGGCGACATCAAGAACTACACCGACATCTCGCCACAGTTCCAGATCAGCGAGGTGCTGTAAGGAGCCCGGATTCGTTACGCATCGCAAAGTTGCAGGGCGGGCGGCCAACTTAGTCAGGCCGCCCGTCTCGCTATCTATGACCTCATAGCTGCAATTGGGGAGCGGGACAATGACAGAACACACAGGCGAAACCGGAGGGAGTTCGGCGGCTTTCCTGGACGAGATTTCGGAACGCCTGATAACCGAACACTGGGATTTCTATCCCACGACGGGATCCCGCATCGGGCGGCATGAGTATGACGGGCGCCTCCCGGATCTTTCCCAGTCCAGTGTCAGGAGGCGCGAAGTGCAAATAAGGGAAAGCCTGAGCAAACTGCGCTCGCTTGACACTTCATCTTTGACCGCCGATCAAACGCTTTCCTGGAGAATGCTGGAACTGTTTCTACAAAGGGAACTCTTCACTTTCGAGGAAATGAGGCCCTTGGAGAACAACCCCATGCGCCAGGCTGGGTTTCTCAACGTGGGTGGGTACGTGCGCCGAGACTACGCCCCCCTGGAGGACCGGCTGCGGTCCGCCACCTCAGCCCTCAAACAAGTGCCTGACTTCCTGCAGACACTGCACGCCACGCGCAGGGACGACCTGTCTCGCCATATGGTGGATATGAGCGTAGAGAGCTATGGCGGAATGGCGCATTTTTATCGCAATGACTTGTCGGCATTCGCCAGCGAGGTCTCGGACCGCGGAATTGCCGAGGACTTCCGGACAGCGATCGAAACTGCCGCGACGGCCCTTGATGAATTCGTTGAACAGCTGAAATTGCGCAGGGGGACAGCCGACAATTCTTTTGCAATTGGCGATCACCTATATTCAAGAATGCTGTCCACGGGGGAAGGGCTTGACTTGCCGCTGTCTCGTGTAGAGGCGGTGGGACAGGCTAACCTCGAGGATAACCTGGCCCGGATTAAGGAGGTGGCTGCCTCAATTGCTCCTGGCAAGTCCGTGCAAGAGATTGTGGACAACAACAGCCGCTACCATCCTTCCGCCGAGGGCCTGATTCCCGACACGCGAGAGCTATTGGAGGACATACGGCAGTCTCTCCTGGATTTTGACATCATTTCAATTCCGTCAGAAGACCGCTGCCAGGTGGTGGAGACACCCGCCTACATGCGTTATGCCTTTGCGGCCATGGACAGCGCCGGGGCCCTGGAAACCCGGGCAACCGAGTCTTTCTATTACGTCACGCCTGTGGAAGAACACTGGACGGCGGAACAGTCAGAGGAATGGCTGTCTAAGTTCGACTACAGTACGCTGAAAATCATTTCAATCCACGAGGTCTATCCCGGTCACTTCGTGCATCATCTCCACAACCGTTACGGAAGGAATCTGCCGCTGGTAAACCGCACCGCCACCTCATACGCCTTCACCGAGGGATGGGCGCACTACACCGAGCAGATGATGGTGGAGACGGAATACGGCCGTGACCGTCCCGAGTTGCTGCTCACGCAACTGCTGGAGGCGCTGGTGAGGAATTGCCGATACATGTGTTCCATGGCCATGCACACCGGCAATATGACGGTCGATGAAGCGACCAGGATTTTTGTTGAGAACGCCTATATGGTGAGCACCCGGCCCGGCGCGAAGCTCTGAGAGGAACCTTCAGACCTGGCTAACCTGAACTACACGCTGGGCAAACTGATGATTCTGAAGCTGCGGGAAGACTACCGGCAAATGCAGGGTGACCGCTACTCACTGAAGGACTTCCACGATCAGCTGCTATCCTATGGGGCTCCAGCATTGCCATTCCTGAGGACCGCAATGCTGAGAAATGAGGGAACGCCGCTATAGCTCTTCGCTCAACGCGGCGCGCTCCTTAATACGCACCCTGGCCCGGCTTCGCCGATCAGACTCGGAAGTTGATCCTTCGGAAGGCTTCTCCGAAGCTTTCGCCTGTATCACCGGTGCTTTCTTGGCCATTTCGACGAACAAACTCGTCGATTTCATCATTTGAGCGACCAGCAACCCGGCTCCCGCCAGCCTTGATCGCTCTAGTCTTTGAATCCAGTGAGGAATCGATTCCGACGTAGGCATTTGGCGTCTCGGTTCCCCAGAACAGCACAATTCCGTCTTGGGTGGCTCGAGGCCCTCGTCCCGCCAGAGTTCCTCGAAATGCAGGTGGTCGCGAGCGCATGGAAAGACCGCGTCGAGGGTAACCTGGCCGGTGATTCGGTGGTCCCGGTGCCACGCCAGGTTCTTTCGATATGGCTCCGGGCAGATCACCACATCGGGCCGGACCTGTCGAATCTGTCGAACGAGTTCCCTTCGTAAATCGTCGGTGTCCTCAAGGGTTCCGTCAGTCCGTCCCAGTGAGACCAATTCGTGCACCCCAAGTTCCTTCGCAGCCTCGGCCTGCTCACGTTCCCGCCTGGAGGCCAACTCCGAACCGGATACTGCTGGGTCGGTCGTGCCCTTGCCACCGTCTGTGCAGACTACGTCACGAAACTACCGCTCCCTCGTTTATCCAGCGTGCGATAGTACCGGCGCACCAGAATTCAGAGTCGTTGGGGTGCGGTACCACGACCAATACCCGCTGTGGTGTTTCCTGCATAGTTGCACCCTCCAGAAACTGAAGGCTGCGGTCCACAGTGTGTTCAGTATCCTAACGGTCTACTCAGCACGAGAGACGCAAAGACAGTCCGCTGGGTAGGAGCCGGACGCAGGTTCCCACCCGACCGTAAAGTCCCCGTTTTCGACCTTCGTGTTGAGGTGCCAGGAGATACTGGAGCCGGTTATAGTAGCCTGAATCTCCAACTCGGGGCGTCTGCGTACAGCCATAGTCTACCTGTCAAAAGTCTTCCGTTTCCTCTCACAAGGCCAACGCACTTGCTCCCAAATAGTCCCGTCATATTGCGAAAGCACAGCGCATACTTTCAAAGCCTGTTTAGCGCCTTCGTCAAAGCACCGGCCCTGTTGGCCGGGCCTCGTATGACTGGCCTGCGGACAAGATGACTTTGCATGCTCCGGCCCTTTGGTCCGTCCCCTCGCCACCAGTGGCTGATTAGAGCATATTTCAATCTGTACGCATGATGTACAGGTCAAGGCCAGCGGCCAGGTGCCCTCTGAGTAAACCCAGCAACTATGTTAAATCTCGCTATAGAGCCTTTGGTGCCAGTGTATTGCTGTGCACAAAGCCATCTATCTTCTGCGCGCCCGAGGTGACTCAGCTAGAGAGAATACGCGGTTACGCTTGTTCGTCCCGTGTTCTTGACGGCACTGATGCTGACAGAGGGTGTCACCTGGCTTTCTGTGAGAACGGCCACGAATGCTCGTCGTAGCGCTGAAACTTCTCGGAAAGTCTCCCGCGCACACCGGATATGACAACCGTGACATGCGCGTTCCATTCCGTCAACGCGTGACAGTAGGTCAGTCGAGTCACTTGGCTGGACGGCACAATCACCAAGTGCCCGGACGAGGGAATAGGAGTGGTGGGAACAAAGACGGCCAGCACTTCTTGTCCTTCAGCATCGAACACATCTGAGCGTAATGTGTGTACCAACCGCAGGGAGCGTAGTGCACGTCCTTGGAAGTCTATCGAGCTCACACGCTCGCTGCTGGTACGCTGCCGTGCGTCAGTACCGTTGGGCATTAGTGCCGTAGTGGCTGGTAAGGCTGGTGTGCGGTTTCTGTTTGAATCAACTCGCACGGAGGGCGGTCCTGGGTGGAGGTGTACTGAGATCCCCTGTTACGACAGGAATCACCTCCATGGCCCGTGTGAGCCGACCATTAGCCGGCTGGCGCGAACAACAAAGGCGCCGACAGCCCATACCACGTATGATCACGGATCGAGAAGAGCGGCACCGAGTCCTGTGCCATACAAGTCAGGACCAGGCAGCAAGTCGGTAAGAGGCTGAAGTATCGGGGTTAGTAGGTCGAAGATGAACTTCAACACAAGGGCGGTGATAGCAATTGGAAGCATCACCAGGAAACCTGCAACCAAGGTGCGTTGAAAGTGACGGGCGATTCGTCTCACTAGAGTCTTCCGCGCGCTGACCCTATCCCGTTGGTATTTCGATGGATTGTGGTTTGCTGTGGAGAGTTCACAGTCTCAACGGGCCTGACCGGTGGGACAAGCAAGCTCCATATCCATCCACAAGGGAAGAAGGGAACCGCGCCGCGAATGGCGGCGCGACCTGTGCGGCTAAATCAAAGGACAGGAAAGAATAGTTCATTTAAGGGTTCCGGAATACATTACCCGGCGGTACTTAGCGCGCGATATTCATCGGAAATCATGGAAGCGACATTGGGCCAGCTCATCATTTCAGCCCGGCGCCTCGCCGCAGTTCCCAAGCTTTCCTGAAGACGCTCGCTCGAGATTATCATCTCGACGGAGTTGGCAAAAGCCTCTGGGCATCGCCAAGACTTGAGATAGCCCGTGTGGCCGTGATGCACCAGGGTGGGCAGACCTCCAACCCGTGTTGCCACCACCGGTGTTCCGCAAGCCATCGATTCGAGTGCAACAAGCCCAAAGCTTTCGTAGTAGGAAGGCACCACGCAGACATCGGCGGCATTGTAGTAAAGGGGTAGTTCATCGTGGTCGACCCGGCCCACGAATTCAATCAAGTCGTCCACATGGCGTTCCTCGGCGAGACGTCGGACTCGGTCGGTCTCGGGTTCTCCGGGGCCGCCTCCGCCCACTACCATCATCCGTACGTTTTCCCCTTCTGCCTCCATCTGCGCCGCGGTCTCCACCAGAAGGTCTAGCCCCTTCAAGGGCTCCACTCGGCCGACGTAGAGAAGGAGTTTTTCTCCGTTCAGCCCCAGCTTGCGCCGGACTTCTTTCTGGTCCATGGGGCGGAATTTTGTCAGATCGACCCCGCAGGGCGCCAGCATCACCCGTGAGGGGTCAGCGCCGTAAAGCCTGGCCATTGCATCTCTTTCGTGGCCACTGAAGGCGATTATGCGATCGGCATTCAGCATCGCCTCCCGTTCCACCTCCCCACGCTCATCAGGCTCTACTTCCCCGGCGCGAGATTGCATCTTGATCAGGGCAAGGGTGTGGAATGTAACCACGTGCGGAATGCCCAATCCCTTGGCCAAGCGTTGCCCCACCCAAGACGAAAGCCAGTAATGAGAATGAACTATGTCATACTCCAGGCGTTCCTGCTCGCGGAACGCCTGCACTTCTTCCAAAAAACGGGGTAGATGAACGAAAAGCTCAGCCACCCCTGCCTCATTGGGTCCACCCGGTAGGTGGATGACCCTCACATTTGGGGCGATCCACGCTACTTTTTCCTGAACTCCCTCATGCTCTCTGGTGAAGATGTCAACCGGAATGCCGGAGTCTCCCATGGCCCTGGAAAGTTCCCGGACATACACGTTCATCCCCCCCGACTTGCCTTGTCCAGGCGCCGCCAGAGGGCAGGCGTGGAACGAAATAAACGCTGCTCGCTCGAGGCTCAAGCTCGCTTCACCACCATTCTGTAAAGACTCTTCTGCTGACCGCCAAGATGCGCCTTGTATGGCTCTGGCCCTCTCAGAAAGTCGAAATACTCAATCCCCTGTTCTATGGCGTCTCTCACGCACATGGCGTGGAGCAACAGCCCCACGCTGTAATAGGAAAGGTCCGGATCATATCCGCTATTGTACAACAGGCGTTCCTGGCCATAGTCGAAGCACAAGCTGGCTGCGGCCGTCGAGCCATCCATTTCCATCATGAACAGGCGGATGCGGTCCAACTCCGCCATCCGACGTGCGAGAGCGCGGAAAAACTGTTCGCGCTCCGGAGTCATGAACTCCTCTTTGTCGGTCCGGCTCATCCGCATCAAAGCCAGGAACGTATCGAAGTTTTCCATCACTGCGTCGGGGTTCGTATGGCAGACCCAGCGCCATTCGGTCTGCGTGTCCAGACGGCGCAGTTTCCGGCGCAGCTCGTGCCTGTCTTTCTTGGAAAGCAGCGCCAGATACTGGTCCCAGTCGGCTGGCAAAGGAAGGCCCGAGGTTACGTCCTCGTATTCCACTTCCACCGTGTAGCCTCTCGCACGGGCCAGGTCGGGAGGTGACTCAGAGTCGGGATGCTCTATCAGGAATCAAGTCTGAGTTCGCTCCAATCCCAGCCCTCCACTATATCCAGCAGCGCGGGGTAGAAGGCCTCTTCAAACCCGGGGCGTATCAGGAAGTCGTTATAGTCAAATGTGTCCGGGGAGCCAACGAATCCCAGCGAATCACCAAAAAGAGCTAAGGAAGCAATGCCGCCTATAGCGCCGTCAGGGGAAGACAGCGTAAACCCGGTCATTTCCCGCTGGCCACCGAAATTGTTCCACCAGACCTCCTGCCACTGCGGAGAAAGGAATAGGCAGGAAACTGGCGACTCTGCTAGGAGAGAGTCCCATCCGTCCCCAGCGTCCCGGAAGGACGTCAAGGCATCCGCGGGGTGCGTCAACTGTTGTGCATTAAGTTTAGTAATGTCTCTCTGTCCTCATTGCTGGCCGACGTTCCTCGGACGGCCTTGGTAAGCATCTTCGTACCCGGTTTGCTGATGCCGCGCATGGACATGCAGAGGTGCTCCGCCTCCAACTCTACAATGACCACACGAGGCTGAAGGACGGTTGCCACGGCGTCCGCTACCTCTGCGGTGAGCCTTTCCTGAACCTGCGGCCGGGCCCCCGCAATCTCAAGAGCGCGGCCCAATTTGCTGATTCCCGCGATCTTCCCTTGCGGGAAGTATCCTATCCTGGCCTGCCCGAAAAAGGGTAGCAGGTGATGTTCGCACATAGAGTAGAAGGGGAGTTGAGAGATGGCTACCGGATCATCGGCATCCGTCTCGAATATCGCATCTATGGCGTCCTCAACTCGGGACCCAACCCCTGAGAAAAGTTCCTGGTACATGCGAGCCACGCGCGCTGGCGTCTGCTCCAGGCCCTCCCGTTTCGGGTCCTCGCCGATGGCCTCCAGAATAGTGGCCACAGCCTGCTGAATGCGGTTGTTCTCGACCGTGATAGCCTCCTCAGCGGCTATGAGTTTGGCGATAGGCCGGGGTTCGGGATCAGGAAAGCGCGACGGCCTCCACAGCCTCAAGGGTCGGCTCGACGACGACGGTATGGGGAGTAACGCTGGAAACGGCCAGATCGGGGTCCTTGAGTCCTGAGCCGGTAAATATGCAGACTACTCGCTTCTCCGAAAGGTCCAGGCCTTGCTTGTGCAGCTTGACCAGTCCGGCAAACGACGCCGCAGATGCCGGCTCGCAGAAAATACCCTCGTGGGAAGCCAGAAGCCGGTACGCCTCCAGTATTTCATCGTCGGACACCATGTCAATGGTGCCGCCAGAGCTGTCGCGTGCATCCAGGGCTCCCTTCCAGCTGGCCGGGTTGCCGATGCGAATCGCTGAGGCGATGGTCTGCGGATTGGCTACCGGCTCACCACGGACGATCGGAGCCGCGCCTTCCGCCTGGAATCCCATCATTTTGGGCAGGGTTTTGCTGCGCCCCAATTCATGGTATTCCTTGAACCCCCTCCAGTAGGCGGTTATGTTGCCCGCGTTGCCCACTGGAATGAAAAGGTAGTCAGGCGCGTCCTCGAGGGTATCCACTATCTCGAAGGCAGCTGTCTTCTGGCCTTCCAGGCGATAGGGATTCACCGAATTTACCAGCGTTACCTCGTGCTTGCTCGTGAAAGTGCGGACCAGTTGAAAGGCGGTATCGAAATTACCGTTAACCATGATTATTTTGGCACCGTAAGCCATGGCTTGGGCCAGCTTGCCCATGGCGACCTCGCCCCTCGGAATGATCACGAGCGCGGGCAGGCCGCTGTAAGCACCGAACGCTGCGGCAGAGGCACTGGTGTTGCCGGTTGAGGCGCACATTATCGCGCGACTACCCTCTTCAAGCGCCTTTGCGATGGCCACAACCGCTTCCCGTCCTTGAAGGACGCCCGTGTGGAGTTGCAGCGCTTGAGCTGCCAGCTTGAAATACAGTTTCTGGCAAACCCAACTCCGCTGCCAGTCGTGTTGGATTTGACCAGAGGAGTATCGCCTCTCCAGGGTGATCATGGGGTGTGGCGCGTCGGTGACAGGCAACAGTCACGGTAGAGTGTTCAGTACGCACACGCCATTCCGCCCTCACGAATTCCTTATCAATGACAATGAGGTCCTGTCCGGAGTACGTTATCCTCGATCTGAGCATGTTGCCGTGCGGCGTACGGTTCCAGGTTGCCGATCAGACACAGCGGGCCCGCTGACGAACGATTCCTGCTGCTCGCGGTGGTCATAATTACGATCTGCGGCCGCTTTGGGATTCGAGATCGGTGTCTTTCGCACAGAAAGTGCAGAAGGACGCACGAGGCGATGCTGATCATACCTCGTCCCCAGGCTCTCGCGATCTGTGCAGCACCCCGGACTTGATCGGCACACATCAGCGAATGTACTACCTCGTAAAAAGGCTGCACAATGATCGCACTGCAGCTGCTCCTGGAAATGCTCGGGCCCGCAGGTGAAGTCTACTCGGCTCATCAAGCGCGCAGTGTTGCCACGACGAGGTCTGCACGCACCGCGCCTGGTGGTTGACCGCCGCCCGCGCCCATGACCATTGAAACAGAACCCGCCCGGTCTAGACCGCTACCTGTGGACACTCACCGCATGTACACGCCGTCACGTTGCAACCAAGACATGTTTTCCGACTGGAACCAGGCCGGATATACCGCAGCTGCGACCTCGCCATCCTGATATCGCAATGCGCCAGGCATGTTCTGGCACAGCTCGAATTCTCGCGCCAGAGAATAATAAAAAACAAACTCGGCTAACTACGCGCAAGTCTTGCTGGTTGCAAGACAGCCGAAATTCCTGCCTTGATACACACATAGCTCGGCCGGAAAGCGCGGCTCCATAGCGCAATGTCGCCAGCCGCAGTCATGCTTGTAGCGCCTTGAGTCCGTACGACATCCCTCGACGTCATTGGTGCGATCTAGACTCCCTTCCTACTGGCGTACCCATGTCCCTGCGCGCTTCGCGAACCAATGACCTCGCGCGAAGCGGCGCCTGTGAAGCAGCCATCCTGGTCAGAGGAAATTCGTGGTATGCCGTTATGATGCTGCGCCGATGTGCGGTAAATATCGTGGTTCGGCGAGGTTGGGCGCGCGTTCATTCATCAAGCTGAGCACGACTCTATCGGGTATTCCACCACGCACATCGGCCTCGACGAAGCCGTCACTCCGTTGGCCTGAAGCTAGTTCCAACAGTACCACGCCATTTTGCCAGCACATGACTTCCTTCTGTGCGGTGACCAGCAGTGCTTAGCCGACTCAGGGCCCTTCGGAAGAGGTAGTCGGCCGCGGGGTACCTGACCCTCCCATACCTCGACTACGGATATGTCACTTTTGTCGCGATCGTCCAGTATATATTCGACCGACGTCGCCCGTCGTCAGCAACCGCGGGACGCGGACCTCGGACGTCCGCCGCAACGGGATCGTGTCACGCACCATGCACCCGCCGCAAATGAGCAGCGCGCCCGACACGCCTTCGGACACCGGTCGAACGCCGGTTCTGAAGGGAGCGATCGCAACTCGCCGCCCACGACTCCCAGCCCCAAGGATAAACCCCATCAGGCCACCACGTGATGCCGGCGAATCTATTATGTCTTATTGCATTATTTAATGTATTTTTGCCTGTGATCTGACTCTAGTACTGGCGCAGTATTTACGGGCCCACGAGGCGCGGTATACGCATACCTTGATTCGCGACCACCATTCGTTAGAGGTTGCGAGTCAAAGCTGCATCTTCACAGTTCGTGGCAGTGGGTGCCTCCTGCACAGTTGCACCTTGTTCTTCCATTCCTCGGACCCTTTTCCAGGAGCGCGCTTAGTACTGATCATCCGCCCGTCTTTAATCTCCCTTACTCGGGGCCGCAGACAGTATTCCACGCATAAAGAATTCCGTCCCGGGCACGTAAAGGCGCGCTGCTCACTCGCGGCGACACAGCACGCGCAGCCCGCGCTCTCGTCGATCCGCACCATCAGGCCTGCGTACATACCAGGTTGGGGAAGCGCCTCCGGGCCACCCAGACCAACGTGTAGCCGAGGGCTCGGAGTAGTCCACGTCGCGAACGATTAATCCTCACGGGCTACACGTCTCGAAGGCCTCACATCCAATCGCTGTAGCCACCTGGTCTAGGACCAACAGTCGCCGCTGAACCGGATATTTACGCTTCGGATCAATAGACAGTCTAATACCACACTGGACTCACGTGCAGGTCGGCAGTGCTCTCAATCTCTGGCCCATCAACAGGAACAGCCAAATTCGTGATTTCTCTCTCGACGATCACCCGGCATTCCGAGTCGGTCAAGTCGGTCAACCCGCGTCGCCGATGTCTGACAGGAATGTCTGGTATTGTTCGGAACTCCCGGTCAAGCTAGACCTGGGGTCAACTTCCTAGCCCTATCAGGGGACTGTGGGTGCATACTCCTAGCGCAACTCGTTCTCAATGCCTCGTCGCTGGGATCAATCACCGAGACTCCGCGAGCTGCTTGCCTCAGGCATTCCACATTGACACGGTTTGCAGGTACTCAAAGGGCACCCGTCGTACTCAGACGTCCACGCGAAGCCGCCCTCATATCGAGTATGACGCCCTGACAGCACTCTAATGCGCTGCCACAGGTCACCATCGTGAATTCGACGGTATTGACGCTGCCGCCCAAACCCTGGGAGGGCCGGAAAAAATTCCAGAACGTATACGAATATCACAACCACGCAAAGACTTATCGGAGCAGGAAGAAAGACGCCGATCCCACGGACCAGAACGTCGCGGCTTCGCTATCCTCCTCAGGGATGGAAGTTTCCGGTCCTCGCCCTCTCTGATCCGGAACGAGGATAGCCGCAGCCCGGTCCGCACGGCTTCCCGGCATTTCCGAAGGCCCGCTAAGCACGGCAAGGGGCCATGGATCACCTCAGCGCCCCTCCAAAGGGCAAACCCACCCCCCTCCGCGGCGCAAGCAGGAAAAAAGCTTTGCAAGCGTTGGAGCAGACTCCTGACCTGTAAGACGAAAGTGAGGCAAATGTTCAGCGACGTATAGTCGGGAAGGAATGGTGTGCCACAAATGGGATGAGCGCTATATGCCGCGCCCGATGTATCGCTATCCGGAGCGCCCGCTGGTGCTTCGCGCACACACCGGTACGGCGCCGTCATGTCTTCGCCCGGTCCGATACGAACCGGCGAATCTTGTCGATGTCCTTGTAGTCGATGATCTTTATGTGCTCTACGCAGAAGGTGCATACCCTGCGCCTGGGCACGAATCGCCCTCGTGGGCGCCCGCCGGGGCGTCCGCCTGGACGGCCACCCGGTCCTCCGCCGGGGCGTCCCCCCGGGCCGCCTTGTGGACGGCCTCCCTGTTGTCCATAGGCCGGCCTGCTGGTGGATTCTGTTGTCATATTTCTTCGATTCCTTTAGGGCTGAAACTGGCTTTGCGCCGCCCGCTAAAAGGGCAGGTCGTCTGAGTCGTCGTAAGGTGGTGGATCTCCGTCGCCCATGCCGCGGCCTCCGCCATAGCTCTCTCCGCCGCCACCGCCACCGGATTCGTTTTCACCGCGACGGCCCAGCATCTGCATTTCCGAGAGCATAATGTCCAGCGAATACCGTGGCTGACCGTCTCTGTCGGTATAGCTCGACTCTCCAAGCGCGCACGTATACCTGCTTGGCCTCTGGTCGTACTGGGTTACAGATCTCTGAAAGCCGGCCAAACGCGCTGACGTTGAACCACTCCGTTTCTTCCCGCTGTTCTCCATCCGCCGTGCGGTAGCGACGGCTTGAAGCCACACTGAACGAAGTAACCGCCTGGCCGCTTGGTGTGTATCTCATTTCTGGGTCGCGGCCCAAATTTCCGATAACGATGATCTTGTTCACGGCTGACCCCGCTATTCCGACGGCTGTTCCGGCTCAGGATCGCCGGCTGGCTGTACGGGTTCCTCAGGTGCCGGTGCCTCCGCCGCAGGCTCTGCACCCTCATCGGCGGCGCTGGAAACAGGCTCAGTCGCAGCCTCTGCGGCCTCATCGGCGGCGCTGGAAACAGGCTCAGCCGTAGCCTCTGCCACAGGCTCCGAGGACACACCGGCGGCGCCGGGATCAGCCTCCGTCGTGACCTCCGCCACAGGCTCCGAGGACCCTTCGGGGACGCCGGCAATAGCCTCCGTCGTGGCCTCCGCTGTCTCACCGGCGGCACCGGGCTCAGGCGCAGTTGCGCCCTCCTCCGTCCCCGCGGCTGGTGCATCCGCCGGGGCACCTGGAGCGGCCCCCTGGGGCGCTCCGGCAGGGGGCATGCCTGCGGGCGGCCGCGGCGGTCGGGGCGCACGGGTTTGCGCGGCGTGAGCTGACAGTTCTTCCTCGGAGAGCGTGATGGTCACAAGAGAGCGCAGCACGTGCTCATCGAGTTTCAGGTAGTTTTCCAGTTCCCTATTGGATGCCCGATCGGTTGTGAACCGGGTAAGGTGGTAATTGCCCTCCAGGAACTGGTACTGCCCCTTCTTGACCGGGTAGGCCAAGCGCCGGGTTCCCCAACGTTCCTCGTGGACAATGTCTGCTTCGCGGGTAGTAATGAATCCCTTGATCCTCTCCCAATCCTGCGACGCCTCGTCGGGGCTGATCATAGGGCTGAGAACGACTACAAGCTCGTAATGATGCAACGGTTCCCCTACTGTCGAAAATTCTGGCGAAAACCCAGTGATTATAGCATCGGCCTCAAACCGCCTCAACTAGTCGTCGATGCCCGGAACAGGGAAACCTGACGTCAGTTCCTGCACCTCTTCGCCCACCTGGCGTTGCAATTCCATGTCGCCGATGTTGGTAAGGACCCGTGCCACCATGGAAGCCACCTGCGCTGACTCCGCGGTGCCCATTCCCCGGCTGGTAATGGCAGGAGTGCCCAGGCGAAGGCCGCTGGTCACGCGGGGCGGACGGGAATCAAATGGTATGGCGTTCTTGTTTGCTATTATGCCGACGCCCTCAAGGGCCTGCTCGGCCTGCCTGCCCGTGATGCCAAGAGGCGTCACATCAACCAGCAGGAGATGGTTGTCCGTCCCCCCGGAAACCAGCCGCATCCCAGCCTCGGAAAGACCTGTCGCCAGCACCTGGCAGTTCTCAACCACCTGGTGGGCGTACTGGGCGAACTCCGGCTTCGAAGCCTGGCCAAAGCAGACCGCCTTGCCGGCGATGGTGTGCATCATCGGCCCACCCTGCATCACCGGAAACACGGCGAAATCAATGTCCTTGCCCAGTTCCTCGGTGTCACATGTGGATGAACCGCCTCGGGTCCCGCAGAACTCTCTGAGTCGCTGAGTGGGCGTAAGGACGGGTGGGTCGGGTAACGATCTGCGCATGGGGGAAGTGCGAAGCGCGCGCGCTATCAATCCGGATGTGGCCATATCAACATCACGTACGCGCCCAGAAGTCCGCGAGAGCATACTAAAAGAAGAACAGCCCAGCTCTTCCTCATAAATGCCCGGAAACTAGGGAGTGCTAGTCGACACGGCGGGGAGGTAGGAACCGCTGGAGTAGCACTGCAGGCACGAGTGATCCGTGCGGCGTAAGGGATTGTAGTGACCAGGGGTGCGCCGCTAGCGCATAACACGTATGGACATAAACCGAAAAATCGAAGCTCGAGTATATGCCGTCAATCCGATCTCGCGAAGGTCTCTACACAAAGAGCTCGTAGACGAATTGTAGAGCTTTCCCGAGAAATGACCGTTCGCGCTCGTGGGTGAGATGCCCACGTGGTCAACTGCATACGATTACAGTGTCGCCCGGCTCCAGCAACGCAAGGACACCGCATGTTGGCGTTGCGCTCGCTGTGGGGCTGAACGTTTACGTGACGCGGCCTCCGACAGTTCTTGGCCCTCTCGATGGCCAGGCTCTCGACACGTCGGCGTGTTCGCAGCACCGTTGGTAGTAAGTAACGCCCGACGGGATATCCCTCGGCTCATACTTGTTGCTTATGACACTGGACCCCGATGCCAATACAGCCTTGCTGGCATAGTTCTCGGAGGCGATGAGTACGATCGACTCCCGTTGCCTGCGGTCTTCAACCTCCAGCGCCGCGGCTATCTGCGGGTCCAATTCGGCTAGTTGATGCCATGCGATTCTCCATTGCAAGGATTACCCCTCGTCTCAGCCCCTTCTGCAGAGTGCAGGAAGGGCCTCACAATTGGTCATTCCACATTTGATACTGCGTTCCAGTCTAAGCTGGCTGCCGAGAGAGGGTGTCAACGAACGCGCCTCCGGAGAGTGGTGTATCCGGCCATCAGGCAGGCGTGGTCGCGCGCCCATATTCAGCTCCTGCAGCCACTGCGTAACAGGAATACGCCGATCGTGAAGGGTGCCAGTCCGGTTGTTCAGTTGTCATGTCTTATCGAACCAGTACATGCGCGGATGGGAGCAAGACGAAGTCGTTCGCCCCTGGTGCGGCGGAGGTTGGTTGGCCTATTCAGAGTGTTGGCAGTGGTTACCACGCACCAAAATACAACATCTTTACGGCAAATAACCCTGTACAATCACTGACACATCACAATGCGCTGCCTGTCAGTGGTTCATTTCCCATGGCACGGTCGCATTTGTGGGTCAGAGTGCCGTGTGCCGGAAATCTGATTCCTGCCTGGCGCCTCTTAACTGCTAGCAGCACTTGAGCGATCCAATAGCCACACGCTGGAGAGGCACCTGGGGTATGACTGAATCCTGGCAGCTATGCCCAAAGCCTCGAAAGTCCTCGAAGTGCAAGGATGACGGTGCACGGTCTATGTCGGCGGCACGGCAATCCCGACGGACCGCGTCCGCGCTTGAGCCACGGCTGTGGCATGGCCATCGACCTATCTGCCCTTATTGGACGCTCGCTGTTGGACAGGTTCGACCTGTTTCGGGTCGACCTGAGAAAACTGCCAGTCACCCCACTGTGTGTTGGAGTGTGTTTGCCTCCAGGTACGACCTGTGCTCTAGATGATTCCTTTGCATCACTACCTTCTGTCAGGGACTGCGAAAGCATCCTGCGGGCCATCGGGCAAGAGTGTGCGCGAAGACCTGTGATCGGTGCCTTTCCACTCGTCGTGTCCGGATTGGTGGCCTTCTCACGAAGAGCAGTGGAAAGACTTCGCCGGTCTGATGCTCTTTGACGTCGCCCATTATGCGGTGGACGCCCGAAGACCTGTCGAAATGGGCGAGGAAATGAGCGCAGCCGCCGGCGTCGCGACCGTTTCGCCAGCAGCCAGAGCGGAATTGGTCCACGCATGAGGCCGACACTCTGTTTACCAGCGCCTTCCGGATCCTGTGATGGACTGATGGCGGAGACCACTCTCCGGCCCGGTGACCACGGCTGCATACGACTGTGCGTCGCGACTACGTAGACCCGGTCTAAGCACTACCTCTTCGGCTGGGCCATGATGGTCAACCTGAACGGGTTCCTGCTCAGTGAAAGTCGTTGGCGCTGATCCCACATTCCGTTTTCCTTCATGCCAAGCATGACCTTTCACAGCTCATGGCCTGACTACGACTCCTGCCCGAGGCCACCCATGTCCCAGATGGAAGATGAACCGAGAAAAGTGCTTTGACTTTGACTCTGGAATCCTGGAACCAGCCTGCGTCTTGAACCCCTGCGACCTTCTACCACCGCGGCAAATCGCGCTTTTTCGATGACCCTGCCCCTTTCCCAAGCTCTCACAGCATAGACACACCACCTACACTGAATCCTGTGCATTCTCACCACGACTACCTACATCTACCGCCTGCGACTCCCGCGGCTCGTCGACCAGCCGACAGACCCAGTGGTGGGACAGAATGGGACAACCCAATGGACGCGGGCCGAATCCGAATTTTTTGCTCTCTGCGCGTCAATGTCCTGTAGATGGACGACGCAAGCGACCAGAATGAAATTTGGGACAAATTGGACGGAATGGGACAAAATGGGAATCTTACGGCCGACTCCTGTCCCAAAATTGCAACCGGCCCAAGCGGAGCTATGCCCCACCCACGCGGCGTGCCTCTGCCAAAATATCTCCAGAATTGAAAATACCCGCCCCTGCCTCAAGGAGGATGCGCACCGACCAGAACATCACACACCTGCTGTGCTTCATCTCCTGCTCAGTGGCGATGAACGTCCCGCCTGCTCATACCTGGTGTTTTGCTGAAGCGCCATTGCACTTGACCTCAATACCATCTCTCGGCAACCATCTCATCTGGCGTATTTTCTTTTCTCGACTCGGCCTACCTTCTGTGCCTTGATAGTATCGGTGGGCAATCTGAGATGGCGCACCAGTAAAATGGACAGTAGCGATACAGATTGGGTTTTGATAGTTGGGCGGCGGACTGGCCGGTATACCGCCGGCCTGTATGCCGCACTCGCATGGGCTCCGGACCTGGATCATTGAGCGAATATTGGTGAGCCTCCATTAT